CGTGAGAGAGACCGTAGTGCTCTCTTCAGGAATTGAGTTCGCGAGGTAAGGCTTCATCCTTTGACCGTTTGTGGAAAACGGTTTCTCATCATTATCCAAAAGTATCGCTGAACCATTTGATCTCATCTCCTTTACAACGAAAGGACCTGACCATCTTGACCGGAGTTTTCCAGGGAATAGCTTGAGCCTAGAGTTGAAAAGGAGTACCTTATCACCTTCCGTGAACTGCTTCAAGATGATCTTCTTGTCATGAATTGCTTTGGTTCTCTCTTTGTAGATCCGGGAACTCTCGTAAGCATTCAAACGGATCTCATCTAACTCATTGAGTTGAACCAAACGCCGTTCCGCAGCTGGCTTGATGTCGAAGTTCATCAACTTTGTAGCCCATAGTGCTTTATACTCTAGCTCAACCGGTAGATGGCAAGACTTCCCGTAGATTAGGTTTAAACGGTGTGGTTCCAATTGGAGTCTTGTAGGCGGTTCTATATGCCCAAAGAGCATCATCTAGCTTCGCAGCCCAATCCTTTCTAGACTTACCTACAGTCTTCTCCAAGATTCCCTTAATCTCTCGGTTAGACAGCTCAACTTGGCCACATGTTTGAGGATGATATGGTGTGGCTACCTTGTGCTTAACACCGTGCTTCGCCAACAAGTTCGCAAAAACTTTATTGATGAAGTGCTTTCCACCGTCGCTAATCACCACTCTCGGGACTCCGAATCTCGGAAAGATGATCTTCTTAAACATCTTGAGGACCACCGCAGCATCATTCTTCGGGCTCGCTATAGCCTCAACCCACTTAGAAACGTAGTCCACAGCTACCAAGATGTATTCATTCCCATAAGAGGATGGGAAAGGACCCATGAAGTCAATTCCCCACACGTCGAACACTTCAACTTCGAGAATGAAATTCTGAGGCATCTCATTCCTCTTACTTATACTCCCCTTGCGCTGGCAAGCATCACATCTCGCAACAAACTCATGAGCATCTTTGAACAGGCTAGGCCACCAAAAACCAGTTTGGAGAACCTTTGTAGCAGTCTTGAAAGAAGCAAAGTGGCCTGCATAATCTGAAGCGTGGCAACTATGGAGGATACCAGCAACTTCACTCTCGGGAATGCATCTTCTGAAAAGATTATCAGCACACTTCTTATACAAGTAAGGCTCATCCCAGTAATAACGCTGCACGTCTTTCAAGAACTTCTTCTTTGTGTAACCTGTAAAATCGGGAGGTGGAACATCGCAAGACAAGTAATTAGCGAAATCAGCATACCAAGGCGAATTGCCTTCCCCAGTGTGTAACGTCATAAGCTCAAGAGCGTTGACGCGTGCTCTCTCCATCTCACTAATGTAGCGGTCTGCGATTAAAGCAAGCTCTTCACCTGGAAGAGCGTCTCTCATTGGAATATCTTCCTCAACTCTCAATCTAGACAAGTTATCCGCAACACCATTCTCAATACCTTTCTTGTCTTTAATCTCCAAGTCAAACTCCTGCAACAGAAGTATCCATCTCAATAGTCTCGGCTTGGCATCTTTCTTAGACACCAGGTATCTCAATGCAGCATGATCCGTGTGAACAATAACCTTAGACCCAACCAGATAGGATCTAAACTTCTCAAAAGCAAACACGATCGCGAGGAGTTCTTTTTCTGTTGTTGCATAATTCACCTGTGCTCCATCAAGAGTGCGACTAGCATAGTAAATAACATGCAACTTCTTATCTTTCCGCTGTCCCAGAACAGCACCCACAGCATAGTCACTAGCATCACACATTACCTCAAAAGGTAGCTCCCAATCAGGTGGCTGAACAATAGGAGCACTCACCAAAGAGTTCTTGATCGACGTGAATGCCTGCAAACAACTCTCCTCAAACTCAAATTTCTGTTCCTTGCAGAGCAACTGTGTGAGAGGTCTAGCAATCTTGGAAAAATCTTTTATGAACCGCCTGTAGAAACCAGCATGTCCCAGAAAACTTCTGATTCCTTTCACAGAATTCGGTGGCTGCATACTCATCATCACCTCAATCTTGGCTTTGTCAACCTCAATACCCTTCTCCGAGATCTTGTGCCCAAGTACAATGCCATCCCTCACCATGAAGTGACATTTCTCCCAGTTTAAGACCAAGTGTTTGTCCTCGCAGCGCTGAAGTACCCTGCACAAGTTAGACAAACAAGTAGCAAAAGACGTGCCATGCACAGAAAAATCATCCATAAAAACCTCCATAAAATCCTCGATCATATCACTAAAGATAGACATCATGCAACGTTGAAACGTGGCAGGGGCATTACATAAACCAAAAGGCATCCTACGATAAGCAAATGTACCATAGGGACAAGTAAAGGTGGTTTTCTCTTGATCATCGGGATGAATCGGGATTTGAAAGAATCCCGAGTACCCGTCAAGAAAGCAGTAATATGGATGGTTTGACAGTCTTTCAAGCATTTGATCAATGAAGGGCAGTGGGAAATGGTCCTTACGGGTTGCAGAGTTAAGTTTTCGGTAATCAATGCACATCCGGTGTCCTGTGACAGTTCTTGTTGGGATTAATTCATTCTTTTCGTTTTTAATCACAGTGACACCACCCTTCTTAGGCACAACATGGACCGGGCTCACCCAAGTACTATCAGAGATAGGATAGATGATACCCGCATCTAGAAGTTTCATTATCTCTTTCTTTACAACATCTCGAAGATTCGGGTTTAACCGTCTCTGATGTTCTACAGAAGTCATTGATTCATCTTCTAGATATATCCTGTGCATACATAAAGTGGGAGAGATGCCTGTGATATCATCAAGAGAGTAGCCCAAGGCTTTTCTGTACTTTCTTAACTCACATAACAACAGGGCACTCTCCACGTTGTTCAGCTCAGCATTAATTATCACAGGGTATGTGGAGTTAGGACCAAGAAACGCGTACCTTAGCCCGGCAGGAAGTGGTTTGAGTTCAATTTTTGGAGCTTTCAGCTCGCTCCAAACATCGCAGTCCTCTGTAGTAGAAACAACCATAGCTCTCTCTACCTCATTCTCTGTAAACTCAGCAACTGCTACCACTCTTGTCATTGGTGAACTAGAATCCAGCATCCTAGCAAACCCAGTAGTTGCCTCTCCAAGGTACCCAAACTCACTCTCTTCCGTAATCAAGGCAATCTGAAGAGGATCCTCGGTGTTCAACTCTTCCAAGAGCTCATCAGCTAGCTCATCCATGATGTCTACCCAAAATGTCTGACCCTCAATGGTGGGTTTAGACATCACTCTCTCCATGTTAAACTCCTGAACAATATCACCAATCTGCAGCTTGATTTTACTTCTCCTCACATCTATCAATGCACCTGCAGTGTTCAGGAATGGTCTCCCGAGAATGAGAGGATCTCTCGGCTCATCATCAAGCTCAATAATGACAAAGTCGGTCGGGATATGGAAGTTCCCAACTCGAATGTACACATCCTCAGCTACTCCAACAGGGAATCTAACAGAACGATCCGCAAGTATCAACGACATCTTTGTTGGAGTGAATTTGGTGATACCAAGCTTCTTAGAAACTGAAAGAGGCATCAAGCTCACACCTGCTCCCAAATCGCAGAGACATCTACCAAAAGAAAATTCTCCAATCGTACCAGGCAACACAAAACTACCTGGATCTTCTCTCTTCACAGGTACAATGTTATGGAGAATAGCACTACACTCATGACTGATCAATACAGCTCCTTCTTCAAGAGTCCTTTTGTTAGTCAAAATGTCCTTCAGATGTTTCCTGTAGACCGGGGCATTCTGGACCAACTCGAGAAATGGAAGTCTAACGTGAAGTTGTTTCATGATCTCATCACACTGAGCATACTCTTTTTCTCTCTGAATCTTCCTCAAGCGGCCCGGAAATGGTAGCTTAGGCACATAAGGTGGTGGTACAACTTTTTCAACCTGCTCCTTCGCAGGGACTGTTTTCTCAGCTTCAACTTTCTCAACCAATGGCTCATCATCCGACTTCTTCTCAACATCATCCTTTCCCGAGTCATCAGAAATGGCCTTAGCCTTTTCCTTCTTCAGGATTGGGTTGAGCTCTTTGCCACTCCTCAGCGAGATAGCATTAACATACTCCTTACCATTGTTGTAGTCTTTCGGGTTCGTGATCGGCTTTCCAGGAAGAACCCCCATTGGTCTTGTAGATGCAGAAGCTGTCTGAGCTACTTGATTCTCAAGTGTCTTAACATGTGAAGCTAGTGACTCGAATTTCCCATGAAGATCACTGTACATGCCATCAACCTTGACATTAATATCTGCAGCGTTCTTTTTCTGTCCCTCAAGAATTTGCTGCATCATGAGCTTCATCTCATTGTCTCCTGAAGAAGATGCAGAATTATTACCTGTAGGTGCTTGGTAACTTCCCTGGAAGTTGTTAAACTGAGATTTCTGCTGGAAACCTCCCTGATTGTACCCATTGCCCTGCATTTGTGGCTTAGGTACGAACACCTTATTGTTGAAATTTCCCTGTCCAGGTACAAAAGGCTTGGACTGAAATTGCTGACCCTGTGATCCCGTCTGCGCTGGGTATACCTGATCCTGCGGATTCTCTACATTGGTACTCCTGTAGGAAAGGTTAGGATGGTTCCTGTAGTTCTGATTGAATCCCCTGTTCTGGTAATTGCCCTGACCGTTGATGTAGTTTAACTCAGCCTGAACATCCTCTGAACCGTCCCCGACGAACTCTTGGTACACCTGAGCTTCACCACTATCATCACAGAAATTAACAACCCGCTGATCTCTCTTGAGGAGCTGCTCTACCTTAGCTGTCAACTCAGCAATCTGTTTCGACTCTCCTCCTCCACCTTTGTACGACCTGTCATAGTCAACATTGTGGTTACTGTTGCTGGTTGCCAGATTCTCAATAAGCTCTGTAGCTTCATCCTCAGTCTTGGTCATGAAATCCCCATTACTAGCAGTATCCAAAGCCATCTTGTAGTCCTTATCGACTCCCCTATAGAAAGTATTGATCAAAGTGGCATATGGAAACCCGTGATGAGGGCATTCTCTGTAGTAGTCTTTGAACCGCTCCCAAGCATCATGGAACGATTCTGTACCATGCTGCTGAAAAGAAGAGATCTTGTTCCTCAGAATGGCTGTCCTGGACTGAGTAAAATACTGTGACAGAAATGCAGCCTTGTAGTCTTCCCAGCTTCTTAAATTCTCAGTGTCCAAAGACTTCAACCAGCGATGGGCTTTGTCAGCCAAGGAGAAGGTGAAAAGTCTGCATTTGATGATATCATCAGGTACTCCATTCATTCTTGTTGTACTGCATATATCCTCGAAGTTATCCAAATGGTAGACTGGATTCTCCGAGGTGAGACCATGGAACTGATTCTGCTTCACCAAAGATAGCAACCCTGTCTTAATCTCAAAATCATTCCTATTGATTGGCAACTGTTGGTTCCTGTCTCGGAAATGCACAACATTAGGAGCATCATGCTCTCTCAGAGTCTGTCGAGCAGGCGCGGGCCTAGCATTTGCTACAGCTACACGAGCGGCATTAGCAGCAGCATCACGTTCAGCAGCTGCACGGGCAGCGGCATCTTGTTCACCAGCAGCAGGAGCATTATTGTTTCTAGGCGGTGGAGGATCCGGAAACACTCCTTGATGATCACCTCCAAGTGGGAGTTCATCTCTATTCTGAAGATTTCCTGCAGCATCAAATTCAGCCATTTCAGCTTCTCTCTGCTCGGCTATCTTCTTCTTCTTCTTATTCGCTCTTTCAAATTTTCCGATATCCTCTTGGTAGTCCGCTAGATGTGACGAGCCTTGGCTGCGGGTCATACACCTGAAAACACCAAAGAGAAAACGAAAACGAAAATCAGTAGCAGAAAATAAAAATGCTTTAGACTAAAAACTAATCCTAAATCCTTAGGTAACGCAATTGGTCCCCGGCAACGGCGCCAACTTGATTGCTCGAGTAATTACCCGATACACTTAACCGCAAGGTAGTATATACGGGGTCGATCCACAAGAACCAATGGTACACTAAAGATTTCCGAGACTCGTTCTTAGCTAAAGTGAAAAGGTTGTTTGTTTGGTTTTCAGAATTGTAAAATAAAAATGCAATTAAATTAAACGATTTAAGTTTCAAGATTTAAAGACATTAGGCATTAGGGTATTTCAGAGATCAATAAACAATGGAAACATGAGACAAGGAATTCAACAATTACGAACCGTTCTCGAACATGAACACAACTTAGACTAATTCTCTTTCAAGACATTAATCACTAAATTTGACTACTCGATTACTAAACTTTCGCATGTAATTTCCTAGTCAAATTCGCATTATCAAACAAGTTCATTAAGTTCACAATGCGTCCTAACGTCAACTTTCGTTGGCTAGAAATACATTGCTCAATTCACATTCTTTCAGGCATTCTATCGAACACTTTTGATGCATAGAAAAACCTAGAATCTACAACAGGGTGATCAATCCTATTCTAGCATTAAGAACATGTGAATCAAAGAACCTAGAGAATGAGAATTCCAAACAACAATTAATCCATTAATCTATCGAATCTCCTAATTAGAACCCTAACACCTAATTAAAAGACTACTCACACATAGCGAATGAAACAAGACAAATAGATGTAAAAGAAAACATGATTGAATTGATAAATAAAGAACAAGGGTTTAGAAATCTTCTCCAAAGTGTCAAAAAGGATGAATCTCTAGAATCCCCAAAAAGCTTACAAAAAGAAGTCTCCCAAAGTTGCAGAAAAGAAAGCGTAGCAAGAAAAATAGGTTTCTCTGGGTTTTTATACCCAAGTACAGAAAAAGGCAAATAAACCCGGTTAAGGAAAACCGGTCTGGTCGTCGAAAAGGGTGGATCGATCGATCCCCACCTGGGATCGATCGATCCCGAGTTTCTGGTTGATCACTTCTTGACGGACGAGGGTTGGATCGATCGATCCCCTCCTGGGATCGATCGATCCCGAGTTTCTGGTACTTTTGGCTTCATCGTCACAATTGGGATCGATCGATCCACGCCTTGGATCGATCGATCCCCAGCTCCTGGTGATCTCTTGTACCGTTTCTCCATTGTTTTAGCTCCGAATAGGCTCATTCACGCACAAGATGCTCCGAATCCAGCTCGAGCACCTATAACCTGCAAAGGACTCAAGACACAACCGAAAAGACGCAAAAGACGGACTTTGACACGATAGATGACTCAAAACACGGACTAAATCAAGACTCGAAACCGTTAAAAACGCAACACATCAACATCGATTAACCCGTTCCGCAAATCCACAAAATTCGTCCATTTTCTTATACTGTGGTTGCTAAGTAGAAACGTATATGTTGAAAAGTTGTGACAGGAAAACTATATTAATGACCAATCAATGGTTTGGCCTAACAAAATATTTCTATATGTTAGCGGTGGAATCTATTCACGAGGCGAAGATGGTATTGGCTACACAATACCCTCCACTATATAGAAACTTTTGTTTCACTGAACTACTTTAGATTGTCAATTTGATTAGATTAATATATTTTTCTGATCAAATTGAGGGAAGAACCTACTCCCCCACTCGTTTATTTTTATTTACTTTATAACTTCTCCAAATAAGCCTATAGGCTATAGGAGTATAATAATGGCCTTTAAAGATTCTTTAATCTTTATAATTATAAAAAATTATACCAACATGTAACAAAATTGACAATTGTAAACGTTATTAAATATTAAGTTATCCTCTAATAGCAAACAAGAGTCTAAAAATGGAAAACGATTCGCTTTGGTCATCACCACAATAAAATGTTGAAGAATCAGTCTCCAAATACAAGAAGCTAAATCAGATATGGTATATTTTAAAGATACGTACAGCCATTATATTTGATTTTTTCAAAAAAAAATTAGGATCTTATTCTACCACTGATTGTATTTAACAATTTTTAAACAAAAATGTATTTTATGTTAAAAGTCAGCGTAAAAAAAAACTTCAACCATAGCCTATGTCAATAATTTTTATTTTTACATGTAAACTCATTGGTTACAGACGATTCTCTCTAGAACAAAACCTTAGAGATTGGACAGATATTTTAATATAATAATGTTTTTGCAAAAAAAAAATGTTAAGAAAAATCTTAATAGTAAAGAAAATAAATGCTTTTAGTCTTTTACTATTTCACTCATAGTTATAGTTTAAATTCTTGTTATCAATTGTGAAAATATATACAACAAATATTTCAAATAATCATTATGTGATTATAATTGGTGAAATTCTATTTGCTAAAACAAAACAAAAAAAGGTTTTGACTTTTTTACATAAATAGGAATTCACTGCAAGGAGACATGTTGTTGCTCATTTGTTTATTCCCTCTGTGTCTGTAATCTCTCTCTAGAAAGTGGAGGAATCTTCTATCTCTCCTCCAGTCAGAAAAACCCAAGCAGCCTGGAAGAGAGAGAGAGAGAGAGAGAGTAATGTGAGAGTTATATGAAAACAAAATCCGCAGTAAGGTCTCGCTATGTCCCGATGCATAGAGGAAGATAACGATCCACAAATTTTCATTTTAGAAAGTTTTTAAAATTTTCTTCTTCTTTTTTGTATTCATCTTCCGTGAAGAAGTACCACACAATAACCCCATCAAACATCTTTAAAGCTTCCTTTTTTTCTTGTTCTTTTGCTTTGAGATTTGTTTTTTTTTTTTTCTCATTTGCTCCTTCTAACTCAGACAACAAATTGCAACAGAGGAAACTTTAAAACCCCACTTGAGGAAGGAATCTTTAAGAATCTCTCTCTGACTTGTGAGTTTTTCCTTCTATTTTCTCTTTTAAAGCTTTAAAGGTTTGATATTTCGTTGAGAACGAAGCTGATTAGCTCAAAGTTCGTTTTTGAGTTTCATTGAGCCATTTTGTTTGACCAGCTTGAGGAATCAAATAAAAAGTTCGTTCTTTTTTTGTTTTTGTGTGTCTACTTTGGATTATTTCATTTTGTCTTCATGAATTAGATTTAGACAAGATTTGTGTTTGATTAGTGTTTCGTTAAATGTTTTGATTTGTGCCCTTTACTTTCCTACTTTATCGGTTGGTGATTTCTATACTCATGAGTCCTATCCTTTTCTGAAAAACAATGGACGCTGACTCAATCTCGATCTCGACCTTCTGTTTGTTTGTTTTTGAAAATGGATGCTTCGTTTTTTCAGATGTTGCTTCATTGATTTTGGAGATATATCCATGGAAGATAGTTTTCTTCAATCTGAGAACGCGGTTATGGACGCTGACTTCATGGATGGATTACTACTAGATGGTTGTTGGTTAGAGACAACAGATGGATCTGAGTTTCTTAACATAGCTCCTTCAACTTCTTCTGTTAGCCCTTTTGATCCATCTTCCTTCATGTGGTCTCCAACTCAAGATACATCAGCTCTCTGCACATCAGGAGTTGTATCTCAGATGTATGGTCAGGACTGTGTAGAAAGATCGAGTCTTGATGAGTTTCAATGGAACAAACGATGGTGGATTGGACCAGGAGGTGGTGGTTCTTCTGTTACTGAGAGATTGGTTCAAGCAGTTGAACATATTAAAGATTACACTACGGAGAGAGGCTCGCTTATTCAGTTATGGGTTCCGGTTAATAGAGGCGGTAAGCGAGTTTTGACCACAAAGGAACAACCTTTTAGCCATGATCCGTTGTGTCAAAGACTTGCAAACTATAGAGAGATCTCTGTGAAATATCAGTTCTCTGCTGAGCAAGATGATTCCAAGGCCTTAGCTGGTTTGCCTGGAAGGGTTTTCTTGGGGAAGCTTCCTGAATGGACTCCTGATGTTAGGTTTTTCAAGAGCGAGGAGTATCCGAGAGTACACCACGCTCAGGACTGCGGTGTCCGTGGAACGCTGGCGATTCCGGTGTTTGAACAAGGTAGTAAGATTTGTTTGGGTGTTATTGAGGTTGTAATGACCACTGAGATGGTTAAACTAAGACCTGAGCTTGAAAGCATTTGCAGAGCACTTCAGGTTTGTGTCCTTCTCTAAAGCTTTCAGCTTTTGCTATTGAGATGGTTTTTCTGAGAGGGGTGAACGTGCTTCCTTTTCGCAGGCAGTTGATCTTAGGAGCACCGAACTCCCAATTCCGCCTTCTCTAAAGGTA